CCTGGTTTCTCGGCACCAATTTTGTGGGGATAGCCAAGAAGATCCACATGTGCGACCGCAACGATCCACCATTTTAAATTTCGTGATAACGAGTGCATTGTGGGAGAAATATTAACTGCGCATGTGCACAAGTAGAGCGCTGCTGATTGCGCTAAGCATTCTGGGTAATCCCATTAGGCCGGATGCGCCAAAAAAGTTGTAAATACATGTTTTTCACTGATGCATGAATGGTAACCAGAAATACGAACATAAGTTGGCCTTACCTACAGAATAAGTGCTTCAACAACTTCCTGTTCTGCCCAATACTGGCTTTACCGCCAACATGCGGAAAGTTGAATATAATATAGGAAAACTGTTGATCTTTGAGTGTGTGATATTTCACCAATCGTGTTGCATCTATGGCATACAGAACAGTTACACCTGATAATGAGGGAAAAGTTTTAAAAATTCAGTTTATTCATTTTTTGGATCTTGTAGCTCTTATAAACAGAGATGAGAATTTTAATTTTCAGCTGAAACTGAAAGTAAAGTAGCCGGGGACCAGGCTGACATCGTTAACGACTTCCGAGTCTACGTCCAAGCCATTGGTTCCGCTGGGCGACAGGGCAGCTCACTCAGAGCAAACCCAGCCAATCATGTTAATCGTTACATATTACTTAGAACACTTGAAAACCACTTTGGATTTTACGATTGCACTGAAAATAGTCGCGAACATGCCGCATTGGAGACACCGCGAGTTGTCTCCTTTCGACCGTACACTAATACAGACTTCTTGCAGCTGCCAACAATGACCCGATAGTGTGTTTACTTCCAGTGAATAAACAAGATTTGTATTCTTACCCCCCCTAAAATTTTCTCCTCGGATTTAGATGTTTCAGAAAAACGACCCCTGGGGCGTAGAAATCCACGAAAAATTCTCATCAGTGCATAAACGAGGATAATCACATGACCTATAATAATTAACATACTGATTTGCATAAAACTATGACATACCTTTACTTCGTAGATCAGTGATATTGCTAGCAGCATTTCTATGTTTCTTTGTAATCGTATCCTTCGTCTCTATACATGTGGCAACAACGCAGGATGGATCGTCAACGAATCTGAGTAGCGACGTGGTGAACGAGAAGTCGCCTTCTCCTAACATAAGAATCTTTCCCTTTTTAGGGTAACGACTTTCAGACATTTCTAACAAGTTTTTAGAATGTTTATCAATAACAATTCGGCATGTACTTCACGTATCACCATGACATTAATTGGACTGGTTTTGACCAGATGGATGAGTCTCGTTCAGATTCTGCAAGGCCAAGTCCGACCACTTTTCTTCCTGTTCTCGTACAGACTCGGTTGTGTTTTCGTTATCTTGGTCTATTTCTGGTAATTC